AGCGATCAGCAAATCGCTGATTGTGACTCATAGAAAGCAAAATTTACAGGTTTTATGTTTCAAACGCATACTTTGTAACCTCTTCTTGTAAGTTACAAGTAAAACATGCCATCATACCATCTTTTGGTTTTATTATTCCGAAAAACATTATTTTAGCTGAAATGAGTCTTTGCAACCTTGGCTATATCCAGTAATTCCGGATTGAATGCTGAGAGGAAGCACACCGTAATTGATTCCGACTATGACGGAGCTTCCACTAGAGAGTAACTAAGGTGTACGTGAAGCAGAATGACGTGGAGTAGTACAATCGGAAGCTTATTATATTCCAATATCAGGTACGAAAGGGTTTGATGTGGTTGACTCGGAGTTGACAAAGATGTTTGACTTTTTATTATTGTTTTAGGTTGTTTGATATCGTCGGGTTTGGAAACACAGGAGAGAGATATGCGCGGGTGTCAGAGAGAACCGACAAATCACACTGCAAAAACGGTATCAACAGCCGTTGGGTGCTCGTGGAGGAGGAAACAGTCCGATTACGTTCGTGCAAAATCTAAAAGATCGTGACTAGATCTGAAGGACCTATTCAAAACTGTCATGCACAAGATGTTACGTCTATTTGCAGCCTAATTATGCCATTCGTTTCTCGGCTGCCGTGGTGTGATTATTATGCCATCGGCAGCCTTATTATCTTTAATTTCAATGCATCAATAAAAACACAATTCCATTACTTCCAGATCTTTTGTTAACTTTTTCAAAATTCTTCACTTGACATCAATGAAAAACGCATTCTGACGGACAAGCAGGCTTTATGCATTCTATGAATTCCGCAACTTTACACCATTCAATAAATAAATCATTTTTATACTAAGTTCGTATTCTCTCCCTTTATACCGACCGATGTTTTTAGTGTAACTTTTAATCTATTTAGATTTGAAAATCTTTTGAGTGAAGCTTGACGTACACTCAAAAGATTTTCAAATCTAAATAGATTAAAAGTTACGCTAAATCGCAACTCTCCTGACCGACGCATAGATTGGAATAAATGGAGAGAAAACTGACTTAGTATAAAAATGCTTTATGCAGTCAAATGTATAAAGTGCGAATATTCAAATGATGCATAAAGGGGATTTATTCCATGAATAGTATTTTTATGTGCTGGTCAGTGTTATTTCCAATGTTATTAATTTTAAACATAATAATAATGTTACAGGAGCAAATTTATTGTCAATCATTATTTATCACAATAAATCATATAACATAAACTGGATTAATTAATAATGATATGCAGAAAATTTGAACCGATAAAAAAGTGCAAAAGTGGGTATCCAAAATGTTATCTGTGTGGTTTCCGTGGGCATTGTTAGAGATGTGGCAACTTGGATCAGCTGCTATCCAGTGATTCCTCGTGTTGGTCGTTTCCATAAGATTGATATTGACAGGACAGCCGAGTCAACAATCAATACGAAACTAACGATTTTAAATTGGCTCACTACTTGACTAGCCTATTGGTCCCAAGCAAACGATTAACGTACCCCATTCTAGTCGAAATTCTAGTACTACACTATGTTTGTTTTGATTTGCTATGAAAGTTTGACAGATAAAATGAGGGGTTCGTTGATTTTCCTATGTTTCGAAGGGTGCATCGATTAGCTTGGGACCGAACAGAGTACCAGAGCTGAGCCAAAAAGTCGAGCACGTTTCTTCGGGACCTTCTAGTCTTAGAGTTACCTCTATGGCCGAGTCTCCTAGCAGAATCTACACTGCACATCCATCAACAGGGCAAACAATCTATTGGCCTATGGTGATTTCAAAACTGTAATCTCACGCTTCCGAAACTGTTCAAACGGTCTGATATCGATCCGCGCCAGTTTCGTTCAAGTTCGGAGTGTATTTATAGTTAGCCTCCTAGGGTCCAAAATGCGGAAGAAATTGACCGTGATGGTGCAAACCGAATGGCGCTAGCGAGTGATCGGATTCAGGTTTTATTTTTTGGCGTTGCAACCGGCCTGGAAAGAGAGGATGTTTGGATCTAGTTTAGAGTTGGCCCTTGGCAAGCGAAACTGTTCAAATTCACCTTACCAGCAGTTCTTCACCGTTTCAAAACCGGTCATCTTCATTCGGTGCCACGAAGGTCCTAAGCTTGCAAACATGGTGCAATTTAATTTTGGAGATTGAGGTACTTGGGCTCATTTGCTTGCCAACGTTGCTTGAAGCTAAAAACAAAATTATTATTCAAATATTCTTCTCAAATATTCTTCTCAAATCTTAACTGATTCAATTCTTCAATACTTACTAAAGCTTTGTTTACTCCTTGTGGTGAACTATGGATAAAGACGACGACAGGAATTCCTATTCTTGATTGTCAACATATCCTGCAGTGTGTGACGCTCGACGAGAGGGCTGGAACGATAATGGGGTCTTTCCAAAACAGTTTTCGTTCTTGCACAGCTTTGCTGTCAGCGGTATACACTGATCGAATTCTTCGCCAGTAGTCGGACTTAGTATAATTTTGATAAAATAAAATAATCGAATCAATAGGTCGTATGAATAAAAGCGTTTACTTTACTTTTCCCGTAAGAAAAGCACGGGGAAGTAAAGTAAACTCTTTTTATTCATACGGCCCAATGTATAAACATTGGTTATGCATAAAATGATTAAATTTTAATCTTTCTTATTTTAGTAATATTTTTGAGTGTATACGACGACGTACACTAAAAAAATATTGAAATCTAAATAGTATAAAAGTTACGCTAAATCGCAACTCTCCGTACCGATTGGAGGAATTTCTTGTTAAAATTTTCCATTCGCGATATTCGAGATATTCGCAATCGATCATAAATTCGAGATTTAGCCGTGTGGAGAAAATCTTACCTTAATTCGAAGTGTTTTTGTTTAATTGATTGGTAAAGTTCATGTGGTATTCGGTCATTGTGAGAATTTGTATTGTATGTACCACTTGTAACCCGTCAGCCTCACGAGTTTCCCGTTGTTACTAAAATGGCTTCAGCGCCACTCCCGAGGGAGGCCATTTACCAAGGTTGAGGTTGCCCGACCGTATGAGACCTTCCAGGTTTGAGGTTCCTATTTTTCCCAAATGTTTGGGCGGGAAGCAAGTTGGCTGACTAGAGAGATGTAAAAGATGAGAGAATGAACCTAATCACTGGCCAAGACGTTCCATTCACCTCGAACCGAAAATTCCCCAGCAAGATTCACTTTCTACTCATCAAGGCAAATCTAAAACAAACATTATTTGTGTAAACTATTATACGGTTTTATTCAAACATTGCCTTTAAAATTCCAAAAGAAAAACCTTTATTCCATATTGGTTTATTATCTAGTCTACATACAGGCGCAACAGTTCATGTTCGTGCTAGCTTCATCTACCTACTTCTTCATTGCCTTTTACCTTTCCCCTCCTATCTATCTGTCTATGGAGCGTGTGTGCGTGTGTGGTTATGTTCTGGTGTAGTTCGTCTTCATTGTGCGTGCTGCAATGGATCTCACGCTTGCTCCGCAAGCGCATTGGGTTTCCGTGCAAACGGTTTGAATGGTTCTATACGCCTCGCAAAACCGGAAAAGTGCTACGGCAGCGGGCTCTCAAGTCAACATGCGCATGGACAAATTACTAACAGGGATTCATTTTATACTCACGACCTTTTATGCTGCTGTTCGGATGAAGATGATGTGGTGGATGAACAGAACGGGGTGGCGGTGAACCATCCGGTTGCCTTTCCTCGGCGGAAACAGGCAGAAAATGCTACAGATGACTTGCTGAATGAGCTGATGAATGTAGTGTCGACACGTGGCTTGCGTGACGCGGTACGATCGTCGACCGGCAGCAAAATGTTCATTGCTGATTTAGCGCTATCGTGGCCGTATCGCTCAGCCTAGGGCGCGTTTGTAACGCTCGCGGTCCTCGTCCGGCGTACCCCGGGTCTCCTCGGAAACTGACCATGTGGTCAGAAATGGTCACTAATGGTTCGGATGGTGTGTCGGGCATGTACAGCCTTTGCCAAGAAGATGTACAGAAAGAAACCGTTACCGAAAGAAACCGAAACCGTTGCACATGCACGCGTTACCTTACTATCGCGCACACTAGAATCTAACACATTCTTTACCTGCTTATCCAAATCACTTCCACGCTTACACACCGCTCGGAAAAGATCCACTATTGCCTAACGAAAACTAGCGGGAAAGGATTTTTTAAATGCTGCACTAATTAGAAAACCTTATGTCACTTGAACCTATGAAAACACACCACGGCGCGAGACTACGGGTGGACCACTCCTGTTTCTTCCACTGATCTAACCAAATAAACGAGAGTCTTGCAGATCCTCAGATTAGCCGCATTATCACGAATGCAATTAAAAGTATGGTACTCGCTACACACTTCAATACTGCTGCGCTTTTGACCACAAAAGCTTGATTGCTGGGTACATTATCAAAAAGCTTTGGGGTTGATGTGGCTGGCAGCAAGGCGAACGAAAGTTCAATGAAAATTAACTCTTAAACAACAGGACCGTTTTATCGTGATGGTTGTGTGTCCAACACGGATGATGCTGACGAGTTGTATGTTGTTCGGAACGAGGGTGACGCGCTTGACATGGATAGCCCACAGCGGCTCACGACGAGCAACTGAATCCGATCAGTAGCGGTGCGACTTCTTCCTCCTTCTTCGCTGAATGGACGCTCACATGAAGTGCTGTTATGCAACATAGATCGAAACAATTTATTCAAAATTTAGAAAATTTCAAATAGTAGTAGCTACATAGATATGTACCAGAACCTGGACGGACACTTCAGCCTACCCAGGGGAGGACCCGGATACGACCACCCATGTGAGTTTGACAAGAGCAACGGGAAGGACGAGACCTGGGGGTTGGTCCCTAGATACGTCAACTTAGCGGAAGGCACGGGATATGGACTGAACAATTACAACTGCAATCATCAAGGATCGTTTCCTTGCGCACACTTATAAAAAATGCCAAATACCACCGGTCTGTGATATAAAATGCTTTATTTTACCCCATCTTACTAAACTTACATCCAAGAACAAAGTGTAACAGAAAAAAAAGTCTTTCGCACCTCCCTAACCCCTAAACTAAACACGTGTCTGGCGTGTGAATAATTGATCAATTCTACTAATAGATAATTAAAACGGAATATCCTCCCCACAATGATGATTATTGCATTATTTTACCAAGGAAGCAAATTTGTGTTTTTTTTTTTGTCTTGTTTTACTTTAAATGCTGAACAAGTTTCGCCTATATTTGAAACGTATCCTAGTTTTGTTTGCTTTAACTTTTGTTTTTGCTCAATGTTATTATTTCTCCTTATTCACCGATAGCTCTCGCGCGCGCTTTTGCTGCTGTTTTATACTTATTTATATGCGAATTTAAAAAAGGCTGCTGGTTTTTTTGTTTGTTTTGCTTATTTGTTGTTATCAATATTTACTGGTATATCCTGCAATTTTTGCTAATTGTTGTTCTCTGTTTCTGCTTTATTGTTGTTACTGGCTTATGTCGTTAATTGTCGCGGAAATTGTTCTACCGTTTATCGTTTTGTCTTTTCCGTTTGTTACTTATGGAATGCTTATCCAAGAAAATTAAAAAAAAAACTACTGAGCTGATTGCTGCGGATTTGTTTTGTTTGGTTTGTTTCGGAACAGTTACGCGTTATTACGCTGATATGCCCCCGGCTAGCTTCTCACTCGGCGAGGGCTTCTCCGGTGCTACGTAGTTGTCAACATCGTCGTCGTCATTCCAGCGTTTCTCCGTCAAGACGGCGAAAGGCCAGAAAGAGACGTTCTCCGTCACTCAGGAGTTTCGCTGTTCCTCCGCCTGGCGGCGCAGAAGTTCGGCCTTTCGGCGCTTGGCCGACAGGAAGACGATCCAGCAGAAGCCGATGATGTTGGCGACAAGCACGCGTAGCTGCAAACGGGAAGAACACTTGATTAGTATAAAAGGTAACAAAGACTTGCATAGGATTTCTGGGACCTACCATCGGAGGCACAAATCTGAAGTTGATCAGCACCGGGAGCGTTAGGTACTTCCAATTGTTCAAGACGATCAACTTGTACAGATCGTTCAGATTGCTAACGCCATCTTCGTGGCCTTTGCCCTCGAACCGGGTGATGAAGTATAGCGACAGGGCCGTGATGGCCGGGGCAAAGATGGCCCGTTCACCCAGCAGCATCAGCAGTTGCTTGAAGCGGCGATCGTTTGTGATCCGTTCCAGCCATTGATAGAACAGGTGCGACAGCGGCCCGGTGAAGATCAATCCGAACAGTCCATAGGCTACCAGTGTGTCGGTGTTAACTTTTTTCGTGCCGGCTATCTTCTGGGAGCAGTAGTTGGCTGATGTGGCGATGACGCAGCTGAAAACAAAAATTGGTACGTGAATATATGGGTGCACAAGCGAATCGGTGCCAATCTTGACTAGATGGGTCGTATTTCTGTTTGTTTTATGGGTACGCGATATGCTATCTCAGCTGAATTGTTTTCCACCGTGAGCGATAAGATATTCTAATGGCTAAGACGACTTAGCTTGCATTCGTGTAGTTATATGGTTTGATGCATTAAGACTTCACTAAGTCTAAAACAAAATAATTAACAAATAGGTAGGGGAAATGGCTCTAATGTTGGCCTATGGATCTAAGATTGGCTCCATCGCTAAAAATCTGCTATTTATCAATTTTATCTAGACGAACGCGTCATTGAGACGGTCCTGCAAGGGATGAGGATTCTTCGTTGTGGCAAGAATCCTCTTTGTGAGTTTCACCACATTTGCCCAACGAGTTTTGTTGCCGCAATGGCTGGCCGAGTATCCCAGCCTTTTGCGGTACAATTGTATACCCTCTGAACAAACAACCGCACCGGAAAAAAAGAGAACCATCAATTTTAACATAAGCTGCAAAAGTCAGCCGAAAAGAGTCTAAATGTCGATAAATTTTTGTATCGTCTAGCATTCAAGATATTGAATGCAGTTGCCTTACATCCAGTATTTTCACTAGCGCGGTAGCGAATGTCGAGTTTTTAAACTACCCGAGGCACCCCAAGCAACCAAAAGTTCCAACAGAACTTTCTGACTACTTTAGAAGCTATGGAAAGCATACGAGGAACTTCAGGCTCCAAAAAGTTCCAATGCGTACTCTTAGCAACTTGAAGTTCAAGAAAAGTTAAAAAAAAACATCTCTAAGCACTTGTTATGAACTTCAGGCAAGGCTGAAAACATGGCCGCAACAAAGTTCCGAACAAGTTCTTAGCGGAACTTCTTAGCAACTTGAAAGTTTATAAAAAGGACTGTCATAACCGCATGAAACAAACCGCACAAGTCTTTATTAGTAACAAAATTTCATGTAGGTTAATATGCAATGATCTGAGTTGCTGAAATGATCAGTCGGTCAAATAAATCATAATTCTTATATTTATGCAACATTAAAAAAAATTAAACAGGAATTTAATTACGTCTTAATTTCTTTAATTCTGTAATTAATCAATACACGTTCTTACATGGCTTTAGAAATAACTTTCATATAGACCTGACTTTAGAAATAACTTTCATAAAAGTGCAATCTAAATATGGTGTAGAGGACAAAAACCTTTTTTAACTTATTTTCTAAAAGTGCCATTCAAGTTCCGCCAGAAGCTGCTTAGAATGCTCTTCAATTATGGTATCGGAACTTCCAAGCTCTTCTAACGACTTAAAAATAAGGCTGATTAGAATTCTATAGAGCACCTTCTACCAAGCTATTTAAGGGGTTCAAACAATTGTTTTTTTGGTCTTAAATGATAGTTTGGAGTCTCAAAAAATACGGGAAATTTGGTTTTATACTCGGGAACAGTTTCTTTTGCATTAGGGGGATGGGGGCAAGAAGACCATACGGGGCGAGGTGGGCCACCGTTCGTTTGAGCATAATACCTATTACCTCAACCTAATTTTTTTACAAACTTGTTAAAAAAATTTCTAATATGCATCTCCATGAAAATCGTATCAAAATTCAATTACATGTCTAAGATAATAATGGAAATGTAACATTAGCTCAAAATCTCTAGAATATTATAAGATATGCAGTCAAGAAAACAAGCATTGAATTCTGTATATTACATTTTACTGATCCGCTGGTTCTACAGCGAGCAATACACGTGACTGTTGCTAAAAGAACATATGTTTCTATTTCACATGATTCCTAAATTTTATTTTCTAGTGAAAACCTGTCAAAACGTTAACTTTTACTAGGGTGCTCATATTGCCCCGTATGGTTGTTGATCGGAGCAAAAACTGAAATTTTTCAAACAATAATTTATTATCATATTTAATCCATATTTTGAACATTGTATATTATCAAACATATTCCAAAGCATGAGCATGATCACAGCTATCATACATTTATGAATGTTTTTCATGTGTTATGATGTGTTTTTCTTAGGGGGACCATATTGCCCCTATCTACCCTATGTTGGAGCGGAGACTATGGGGACTAGCTGCGCGCTCCCGGCATGACATTTATCCTTAATCGCGTTTTGATCGAAACCATGTTTTTCAAGTCGGGCGGAAACGAAAGTCATATTTCTAATTAATTAATCGACTTGATTGTTTTTTAGCTTGTTACGAGTGTGACAACGATGATGAGTTCACCAGGTTATATCTTCATTTTATTTCAGCAGGTTCCAGCAGACGCTCTGGCCAGCAATTTCAACATCTATAAAAAAAATATACATTTGCCAGCAACACTGACTGGGTGTATCCTACACACTTATAGCGATTTCGTTTATTATCGGGGTTGAAACCAGTTCCAACCCAGTGCGAAACCGAACTTTTTGTCAGTGCGAACCTCAACCTGAGCTAGGTTTTAAAAACAAACGAACAAACTGACGTTTGTCAGAAAACAGGCAGACCCAATCTTGATACCCGATCCAGGTTGGAACTGAATGATAAACGAATTCGCTATTAGATTTTTTTTGCCGAGATGGGCACCACCTAACAGCTCGGTTCGACAATCTATTTTGCTGGATCTCCATGAAAAATTTGCCAAGATTCAGTTAACAAACGGGAGTTTTGCCGAGATCTCGGCTAACAAACATAAATTTTTGAGTACACTGTGGCGGGTAGTACGCTGAACAGATGGCGGTAGTGTGTAAACGTCAAACGCAAGGGAATTGACTATGCGCGCCACAGGTGGCGGTACTACCAACTACGATACTTTTAAATTAACCGTTAAATGCTTGTTCGATGAACAACTTGCGAGTGTTATGTCTGTTTGTCTGTGGTTTAATAGTTTAATAGTTTTGAATTCGTACCACCTACGATATTGTGCAACTGGTTCGATGCTAATGCTAATGCTAATGAACGCGTCATTGAGACGGTACTAATGGATATTTTTGGTCGCTATTGAAAATTTAGTCGATTTCTGAATTCATGTATGCCAAATTAGGGGCATTTAGGCCGACATTACATCCATTTCCCCTATATATGTGTGAGTGAGAATCACTGTAGTCATACACGATTATTCTCGCCAGGTTGATCAGTTCGTTCACATGTACATGTGTACTATTTGAAAATTATCCGTGTGAATCGTCAACGCTAAGAAAAGGTTTGCTGTACATTACCTTAATAAAAACAAATAGGCTGATGCAAATAATATTTTCCATTTATGGAGGTAACTTAAATTAAAAACAAAATTTGCATCAGCCTAATACTGATTAATATCAGCAATCAGTACTAAAAATCAGTGATTAGAACAACACAGAACCAATATTTCAATATCCATACATATTGGCTATGTTCAGGTATGGCTCCAAAAATAGTAAATGTAATGTTTATTAACGACCGTGCACGTCATAGTTGCTACTCCGTTACTGGTTACAGGGATTGCACAGGGAACCACATAGATTGAGCTTGGGATTAGATTTCCATCTTCAATGTACAATTTTACTGATTCGGGTGATTGTGGAAGAACATTCATCGCGTGAAATGCCATTGGAGAACGGCGTTCCTAAAGGGTCAGTACTTTCGGTCACCCTGTTCCTGGTAGCAGTGCAACCGATCTTCAGAGTGTTGCCGCATACAGTTACCGTACTCCTGTATACAGACGATATCTTGCTCGTAGTACGAAGAAATAAGGAGCAACCTCTGTATCATGATCTGCAAGCTGCGGTGAGAACTGTCGACGAGTGGGCTAAAAGCGTCGGTTTCAAAATCTCCGCAAAAAAATCCAACATTTTCTATTGCAGTCCAGCAACGATATCTGCATCGATCGGGTGGTTGTACCGTAGACGACGCGACTGAAGATCATAGATGTTATTCTCGACCGGATACTGACTTTCAAACAACATTGCACGACAGTTAAAACTGCATGCGGCTCTAGGCTGCGAATTCTGAAAATGATCGGAGCTAGGATTCCGCGCGGGCATGGTGCATCGGTTCGGCAATCATCACTTCGCGGCTTCTCTACGGCATTGTACTCGTCGAAGGACTCAGTAATTCAAAATCTTTCACCCGTCTACAACCGGATGGTCCGGTTTGCCTCTGAAGCGTACGTTACCAGCCCGATTCCAGTGATTATGGCTGAAGCGGGGACCTTACCGTTTGACCTCCTGGTTCTTCAGCCTTTAACTTGTGTTGCCATCCGTATGCTGGAGAAGGAACACAGAAATGACGACCTTCCAGTTGTAAAACGAGCAACCGTCCGTCTTATGATGGTTGATCAACGACTTCCGAACATCGCTGATCGGATTCGTTTCACCAACCGAAGGTGGCATGCACCCAAGCAGAGCTGGTAAATATCACGGCCGTCATGTGACAATGAGAAAACAGGTCCTCTCACTATCACGAGATGAAACTACCTATCATTAGCTTTCTTGTAATTTTTCAATGATCAAGCATTCATGAGAATAATTCTTATGTGGTTTTGACATCAACATTTCTAACTGATTTAGATTAATTTAAGAATGTAACCGTATGTAATCGGTAGAATGAATTTATTATTAAGATTTCCTCGGTACAAGTAACTTTCAAAGCAATAAATAAGCTAGTAATTACGATGATCACAACACTGTCACGTTCTGTCATGACAAAAAATTCTATCATCGTTTTCTCATCCGATGATAGTGACAGAAGTATCTCTGTAAATATCGCGTGAAATCTTTCATTGAAAATGACATTTGCCAGCCCTGCACCCAAGCCACGTATTGTATGGGACGTGAGACGGCAGGTGAAAGCTGGAGATCCCCCGGATATAGTGGTGCGTTCCATTGTACTGGAATTACTTTCAAACCGGTTCAAGCGTGCTTCGGTTGTCTACACTGACGGATCAAAGTGTGACAACGCAGTAGATGCAGGGCCTTCCGTCACAGTGTAGCGTTTTTGCGGCGGAGG